CCCCAAAACCCCAAAACCCCAAAACCCCAAAACCCCAAAACCCCATATAGTGACTATCTCATTGAATCTGTCGAACATTGCTTTTATTTATTTTTATTTATTGAAAAAGATTCGCAAATTTAAAAACCAACTGGTTTTTAATTAAGATTTTCTGCAAAGTTTTTCCCAATCGACATCTCAAATGCTATAAGAATCAGCAGTAGATTTGTTTTGGAGTGCGATCCTTTGAGACCATGTGCTCTGGCGACCTCCTCTACAGTGATAATAGTCCTTAAAGAGACTCAGAATATCTCATTGGTCTTCTCACATAAAAATTTGAGCAGAATTGCATTCCAAAAAGTTAATGAAGAGTCAGTTAAAGTACTTCCACCCTCTTTTAAAGAATTCTTCTAAGTGGTGCTTCTATATGGATTTAATCCAGAACATTACGGATTCTTCTAATGAGATCATGTTACAAAACAAGCTCATAACTGGCTCAAGAGTGATCATCTCAAAGGTCACCTAGATAATTAAGATGTTTTAATGAAGGCCAAGCTTACGTTATTCTCTTCCTATGAAAATTAAAAGATTTCAAACTTACTAAAAATGCATGTATTTCTGGAATTTCTACTTTTGCAAGCTCACTTATACTCTGTGCTCTTTCATAAAAGCCTTCAAGTCCGTTTAAGTAATTTTCCCTTAGCTCATAGTCCTCAATAAGCGATGTAAACAGCCAGAACGCAGTTGCCGAGTTGCAGTGATAAGCTAATGAAGCTGTGATGAAGTTCATTCCTTGCACATATCCGCACGGCTTATCGTACAATGCAAAGGCAGTCAGCACTTCCAGCATAGTTGTATAGCCTCTGCCGCCCACTCAGAAGAACTCTTCGTCAGTGACAGTTCTGCAGATGTCATTCTTGATCTGCTGCACCGATTCTTGCACTGCAGAGTCTGACTCTGCAAGTGTGAGCATATCATTGAAGATTTCTGAATCTTTTTCAAAATCGAAAGATCGCGAATGATGTCTATAGGCGTATTCTGTCCATCTTTGAGCAGCCTCACAGTGATGCATGTTGCTGCCAATACCACAGATTCACTTAAAATTTAAGCTGGAGACTAGAGAGCATTTATTGGAATCAAATGTTGTTGAATCTGTGAATCTGTCTCCATTAATTTGTATCATCAAATTCTTATTCACAGTCTTTAAATCTAGGTTATCCTTATAATTCCATTCAAAAACTTTTCCATTACTAGATCTTCTCGTCATGTTTGGAACTCTATTTGATGTATTTCTTCTCTTCCTATTTTACTTAGCAAAAATAAAACCTGCCAAAGATAAAAACACTCTTCTGGATCTTGTCAAGACTTGATGTTATTCTCTTTTTATTTTATCTTTTTGGCCTTTTTCTTCTTCTTTGCTTGACGTAAATAGTGATTTGCCAATAAGAAGGGTTTCTTTTGAGCACGATAGGTTCTCTTTTTCAGAAGTTTGGGGTTATCTAAACCGAATTCAGAATAAACAATGATTCACTAAATTCGTAAGCAACTCATTTATTTGAACAAATTTATCATCTATAAATGCTCGAAGATGATAACTTGGATAATAAGAGCTGTAGCTAATAAATTCCAATCTGAGAGAATTAGTAACATCAGAACTAAATACGGACAGAGTACTTTGACTTCCGAATCAGAGTAGATAACTGAGACCCAAAGAACCTTATCATCCCAAAAATCTACCTTTGAGAAGTGCCATCGAGAATGTTGGACCAAAAGGAAATTTATACATGCCAGTAATTGCTTACTTGGAATACTTGGCACAGGCAACTTTGAGACTCATAGTTTTGCTGTGCATGACTTTAGTTTTATTCTTGCAACTCTGAGTGAATTTATCTGCCATTCTGAGCAATGTATGAAAGTCTTTCTCACACAAGCTCTGGGAAAGAGTGTCGACTACCATATTAGTAAAGACGCAAATCAATAAAACCAAAATTCATAAGATTCTTTGAAAAAATTAGTATACTTACTAGGTGACTGTGGTCTAGTTTGTGCCTTCTTACGTTTGAGAGTAGTACTCATATTGGTTTCTCAAAATTAAAGTATATCAATCCACTTTATTTTGTGAGGGGTTTTGGGGTTTTGGGGTTTTGGGG